GTTACCCCAAAAGGGTAAACCATAATTTATAATAGAATTAAAATAGGAGTGATAAACCATTTTTAAGGTATTTATGAACGTGTATAGTTTAAGTGATCTTATTATGTAGCAGGCTGCACTTAGTTTAGAACTAATATACTCAGTGTGGTATTTTCAGCTCAATATGTCATCAATGAATATTCCAAGAAATATAATATTAGATGTAGATATAATTTGTTTTTTATCATATACAATTTTTATTTCATATTTAGGATTAATAGTTCTAGCTGTAGATTGAATGTAGTGGGGTTTGTTAAAAGTTATAGAAAGTTGGTTTTCTTTGAACCACTCATTTATACTATGAAAAGTATTGTTTATATTTACAAAGAGCTCATCATAGTTCGAACTTTTAACTAACAAATTAGTGTCATATGCAAATAATGTACGTAATGTAATATTTACAAAGAGCTCATCATAGTTCGAACTTTTAACTAACAAACTAGTGTCATATGCAAATAATGTATGTGTAGGTACAATTTTATCATTTATAGTTTTGGGTAAATCGTTTATATAAATGAGAAATAACAATGGACCCAGAATTGTACCTTGCGGGACACCATGTCTAATTTTGCCCCATGTCAAAAATTCATTGAGATTAAGATTTATATTTATAATTAAAACCGTTTGATATCTATTTCTGAAATAAGATTCAAGCCATAGCTTAGCTTTACTCTTTAGCCCATAGAACTCCAATTTCAACATCAGAACCACACGATTAACACAATTGAAGGCCTTTTCTAGGTCACAAAAATGTCTCGTCATTAAGTTTTTGCTGTTCAAGGTCTTACAGATTTCATTCACAAACTTGTATGTAGCCTCATCTGTTGAAGATTTTGTTCTAAAACCAAATTGTTCTTCCACTAAAATCGTTATTGCTATTTAAGTGCTCAATCAATTGAATGCTCATAGCTTTTTCTAATACCTTAGAGAACGAAGTTAAAAGTGATTCATTCATTCATTCATCAGTAATCTGTCAGATGACAGGTCCACAGTCTCTTCCAAAACAGTTCCTCCACTTAATGCGATCTGGAGTTTTCTCCTTCAAATGAGAATATTCTCTTCTGTCCCCAAGATCATCCAGCATCTTCTTACGTCTTCTTTCTCGTCTTCTGGTTCGCATACAGGTTGTCTCCTGTTTTTGGAAAGAGACTATCCAGGAAAAGTGATAATGTGGTAGTTTTTCCATTTGCTTTCCACATCGCAGTACAACAGCCATTCAAACCACTCTGGTTACGCCGGTTGCTATACAAATTTGAACCATCTCGAGCTTCATTTGCTCTGTGCTTCAATCGCTGCTGACGACGTTATAAGTGATAATAGGCTTATAATTGGAAAGGAACGAAGTTAAAAGTGATACAAGCTTATAGTTTGAACAATTTTTAAACAGAGGTCTTGTTTCTGAGTATTTCAAACGATCTGGGAAAATTCCTTGTGATAATGAATTGTTGCATATGTGAGTCAATGTAGAGCTAATGAAAAAGGAACTCGTTACTTTTTTTTTTTTTTTTTGGATATTTCGTCATATCAATAAGAGTTTTTTGCTTTGAGAAATTTAATTATATTTTCAACTTCCTTAGTTGATAAAGATTTAAGTTCAGTATGTGGAAAGGGATTTATAGAAGTGTTCATTAAATACTGAATGGGAGTAGATACAACTTACAACTTATTTATTGGGCCGTCACAACACAACACTCGCAGAACCTCAGGGACAATGCCCAAATACAGTTCACTACATGTTTTGGCCACTAGTGACCATTTTCAGGTGAATACACTTCAATAAACATACACTACCGAATTGTAGCACGTAAAGTCAGATACAATATCATAAATCATTTAAAATGATTATGATAAGAATATAAAATATAGGTTATTCAAAACCAATAAAAGTCTTATATAAAAACCAAAGTTAAAACTTAATTGATGTTTTATAACATTAAATCAGTCGTTGGTTCATCTCACATATGCATCTGTCAACAAATAGCAAATTACGATGTTCCATTATAAAATTGTAAGGGAGGCTCAACAATTAATGGAATAGTTGGAGCCTCATCGTGCAGAGAATTGTACGAAATGTACGGGAGGTAAACGACGACTCTGGAGTAGTGCCTGGAAGGTAACTAATATTAGTATTAATTTGTTTATTTTCTGCATTTTTATTTTCAGCTACAGATAAAAAGTAATTATAAAAGGTTTCCACATTACTTGCATTTCTCTAATCCATTTTCCATCCACCTTTAATATGCATATTTTTTTTCATTACTTAGCCCCCTATTAATTTCTGATTTTACTATATCCCATATGGTTTTATTTTTATTGTTGGAATTTTGAATTTTATCATCATATTTTAGTTTTTTAGCTTCGAATTATTACTGTTTCTACATGCCACATAGAGTACTCTTTTACGTCTACAGGATATTATTCCTATAGTAATCCAACCACTTGTTGGTTAGTAATTAGTCTGGATCCAACCACTGAAGAAGACAGTCCAGTATTGCCGAGATATTGTAAGCAGTAATTGTAACACTGCAAGAACTAATGATTGTAAGGTGTGTAAGGTGAGCGAGTGGAATAAATTCGCTATATCAAATACCACGGTGTAAACTTATTTGTAGTGTGACACACGCAAACACGCTACAATATGAACGAAATCCTCAACACGAATTGTGCAAAGAAGAAAACATTGATCCTGTAGAGTGTGGTCCGTGTGCCAGTACATGACGTCTAGCTCAGCGGTTCGGTGTTTCTCAGTCCATGGCGTGGAGGACTCCTCATGAGAACGGGCTGCATTGTTATCATTTACAGCAAGTACAACACCTACAACCAGGAGACTGTGCTCTTCGTCTGCAGTTCTGCAACTGGTCAAATGGAAATCGGCAGTTGTACTGCTTGATAATGTTCTGCGATGAGGCACACTTTACATGGGACAGGGTCAACAACAGTCACAACTTACATGTTTGGTTAGACAATAATCCCTGTGCCACGATAGAATCAAATTTTCAACACCGATTCAGTGTCAATGTCTGGTGTGGTGTTCTGTATGATCAGCTGATCGGGCCATTCATTTTTCCTGGCCACTTAAGTGGTGAGATTTACTTCCACTTCTTAAAAGAAGAATTACTACAGTTGCTTGAAGATGTTCCTCTGGCAACAAGACGCCAGCTGTACTTTGAGCATGATGGGGCGCCTCCTCACTACTTCCGCGCAGTAGCAGCTCACTTTGATCGGCATTTCCCACAGTGGTGGATTGGTCACGGAGGCTGTAACGCCCGGCCTCCCAGGTCGGCATATCTAACGCCGTTAGATTATTGCATTTGGGGCTGGATGAAGGACATTGTGTACCAGGTAAAGGTACAAACACGTGAAGCGTTGCTCGAATGTATTCTGGACGTGATGAGACAATAAGGAACAAACGTGTGGAACTGCGAGCTGCCACAAGCGCGGTTCATAAGCGTGTTGTGTTGACGTGCAGGGAGACATTTCTGAAAATCTTATGTAAATCCAGTCGTCTTCTAAAGCACTACAGTTTAAAGGAAACATTGATAGAAAGGGTGTGATATGCAACCATTGGTATGTTTACAGAATGGGATGCTGAAAATAATGTAATTTTGTAACAAAATCTATGAAAAATGTTGCATAATGCAAAATTAAGGAATTAAAAAAAATGGCTTTAGAATGCTTCTTTCCTAAAACATTAACGATTTAAAGTGTTTGTATTTCTAATTTGTTTTGACTGAAATTTGAAGAAGAAAAGATTTTTCGCCAGTTCTCAAATTACTGTATCTCTTTAGTTATGAGTTGGATACTATTAGTTATATTAAAATTTGTTGTTCCAAATTACCTCAGGAATGGCCTCCCTAAGTGGGGGAAAACTTAGTAAATTACCGTGTGTGTTTAAGTATTTCTTCTTTTCTTCTCCTGTTCAGATGCATACCTTGTCTTGTAAAGAAGTGTCTCATGTTCGTGATATTTCATGATTTTAAACAGTTTCCTATTAAAGGCATTTATGTCATTATGCAAGACCAATCTGCCAGGTCATGTCTGTGGTATACCTAATAGAATAATAATAGTATGAGTATTATTACTTACAAAGTTTAAAATTTGTCTTAGTCCCATTTTAGAATTATTTTTTCAGAAATCGTTTGCACCTCCACTAAATAGAAGAAGAACATTTTTTCCTATTTTTAAAATAGTATCTTTTACATAATTAGGGTAAATAAATTAGCTCCTGGTTTTATGATTCCAGTTACCTTATAACTTTTATCAAGATTTTCTCCAAGTTTACTTGCACATCTGCTTACATGGCTGTCTTCAATAATTAATATAGTGTGGTTTCCTTTGTTCTTTGAAGCACTTGCTGCTGAATCAGCAACTTTCTCCTTGGGAGCCTCTTTCTCATTCTTTGCATTAGCCTCAACGGTTTCATCATACGAATGTAAGATGTCACTGTTTAGAACTTTATTGTTATTAGATGTTACTATACCATTTATTATCACTGAAACGTTATTAATCATCTGTCCATTTGCATCATCCTTGTATTTACTATCTCTTGCTTGAATATTACTTCTGATATTATTTCGTGCAGTTTTACTTGGTTTGAGAATTTCTTCGTTTGTTGCTTCGGTAGACTTAATAACCTCATTAAGGTTAGATAAAATTTCAAAATGATTACTTGTTGTTAAATATGTTTNGTGGCTAATAATGAGGACTAGTTTTCATAGTAGTAGTCCTCAAAACCCAGTTGTAATCTAACAAACGTCATTGTTATCATTTATTACTACTGAAACTGTTTACCAGTTTATAGGTCATGGATAATTAAAAAATGTTTGAAAGCAGAACATGCTTTCAGTAATATGATTTATGAGAGAATTAGATGGTAAAGCCTTTACTATGAGGAGTACAGTAACCATTTCACACATTTTTTTATAGAGGTCAAGTGATATGTGTTATTTCCCAATGTGAAGAATTATGGTAATCCATCATGTAAGGAAGGAAGAACACTAATTTCACATTTTTCTGTTGTTCATTCAGGAGGGTGCTGCAGTGACTACCTGGCAACAGCTGCGTCTATTGAAGAGGTTGACAAACTCTTTGAGAGTTTAAATGGTGGAAAGCACTGTGTTGCCCACTAAGCGATAACAGTCTGCAATATAGAACACCGGTTATCCACTTCAGCATGAAACGCTGAGAAGCAGGATCAATATCAGGATTCAGTGTGGGTAGGACATTTTCTGTAATTTATTGACCTCTTTTGGTTCTGGTATATTGTGTTTTATTATTATGGGTGCATTCCTTCTAATAATTTAACTATTTTAATATTTTTATTATTCTGTTTTGTAATTATTGTGGGTGTACTTCTTGTCATAGTTTATTTGCCTGTTTTATATTTGTTATGTTGTTCAGTTTTAATAATATGGGTGTTTTCTTATTTTTCTCCATATTACTCTGTCCAGTACTGAACTGGTGAACATGAATATAATGATTGCATTTCCTTAAGATATGTTATTAATTTTGCCAAATATTGCTGTCCAGTGCTGTAATACAAGATGAATATCAGATTTGTAATATTCTGTAAGATATTATGAAAGTTTAATTTCATCCAGTGTGACTGATGTTCAGTCACGCTGGACAGAAATAATTAACCTTTTATAATGTGTGTGTGGCGGACCAAGATGAAACAAATTAAAATTCTGTAAGATATGTAGTTGTATGTGCAATTTATTCTTGTCCAGTACTGAAGTGGAGGATGAATATCAGATTTCCAGTATTATGTAAGATATGTTATTAATTTTTCCATATAATCCTGTCCAGTACTGTGGCTACCTGTAGTGGGCAGTGCTCCTATATCTTTGGCTGTTACTTTGTGTTCCAGACTTTCTTCCATTTTGATGGGGGCCAACCACTGCAAAGTGTTTTGACAGTCATTTTTCAAATCCTGGCAGAAGACTTGAATGTTCGCTTCATGATCTTGAGCTCAATGGTTTTCCCAAAGATCCTGCTGGATCCCTACCTCAGATGTAGAAACTGCCCTGGTATATCTGCCTATCTCGTGGTCAGTGCATAGCAGATGCTCAACATGCTACATTATGTATATATGAACTCTATGGGAACTTAGCGTCTTGACAGCTTGTATCAATTATTTAAATTACATGTGCCTTTCTATGTTCAGTGTAGACCTCTAGAAGTTGATGTCATTATTTTCTAGTTCACTGTTAATGAATGTAGGAACTAATGGATTGAGATATGAGCATGATTTTATATACAGCTGTATTAACATAAAGGAATTTTGATTGACACCAAATGTATAATATTCTCTATATAAAGTAAAAGGTAAAGCTGTCCCTGTAACAGGCTGTAAAGGTCCATACGGGTGAGAAGGGTAAGGCTGCCATATCTTCTAGACAGTCAGCTCACAGATGGCCGTAAGGTTGTCAGCCTTACGTGCCAGCCACACTTTACCCCCAGGAAGATTCCTGGTGCTCATTTCTGTTAAGAGGCTGAGTCAACCCAGTGGCCATAGTGAGGCTGGAAGGATTAGGTCAATTGAAAAATCCAATAACCTCATTGTGATTTGATCCTATGACCTTCCGGCTTGTAGCATGGTGGCTCAACCAAGTATGCTACCACATGCCCCCCCTCTATATAAATGTAGCATAGTGCCTCATCCAAGAATGCCACTGCATGCCCCTTCTTTATATAAAAGCATAGTGCCTCAACCAAGTATACTACCTTGTGTCCCTTTTGTATATAAAGTACTAAAAATATTGCCTTATGCTGGAAATGCTGTATGCTTATTTGATGAATACTGTATGTGGAGCATGGCACGGCCCTTACATGATTAACCCTTTCACTGCTACAATGATACATAACTTCAGTACCCTGTGCGCTGAATTATTTTTAAATAAATGTTATAAATAATTTAAGTGCAAAGTATGAAAATTTTGTGATAAATTCTAACCTTCAAACAGGGAACAGGTACCAGAAGTTTGCAAAAATGTTGAATTATTCAGTATTTTTCAGAAGGGAAAAGTCCATTTAAATCGGGGTTGCCAAAAAAAGTACACAGTTCACTATCCTAGTCGTATTACTATGTCACATGTCCACAGCTTTATTTAAAACTATTATAGAAAGCACCGCTCACTATACGAAGCCATTTTTGCTAGACCTGTGAAATACCCACATCACATGACCACGGAGCGCGTGCCTCGCTGTGCAGATGCAACCTTTTATGTTTCTTAAGCCAGAAGGCAGAAGAATGCAGCCATTGAAATGAATGATGCTTCATTATATTCCCAATAGCTGACTCTATGCACCTGCCAAGTTTGAATGAGATGTGAAACTCCATATTCACAATATGGGTTTTGTCGATTGCGGCAAGGACACCATGATTTTCAGAGATCGACCTATGTCGACCGCAGCAGTGTAAGGGTTAAGTGTTTATCCAGTTACTTGCTATCCACCTGACTAGGTGCCTGCTTCCTCTCTCCTCTTCTCATTTTTGTGCATCTTTCTCCTCCTCCTCCTCCTCCTCCTCCTCCTCCTCCATATATGTTGATAGTGCCTCCTGGACCCATTCCAATACTGAAAGTTGACCTAACCGCCTCTGTTTTGGTTTCCCCACATGTCCAGTCTCATCAAGTGGTTTCTCAAGTGTCACCTGTATCTTCTGATATCTCCCATGATTCTGGTTTCCCTAAGTTGACTCAC